CGTGAGACATGACAAAAGATTTGAAACTGCAATCTAGCTCACACCAGAGAAATTGCTTAGGGTTAGAGATGGCAGCGCTTACCAACCAGGCTCGCTTCAGCAGGAAGTCAGCCCTGAATCACAGTTAGAGAAGTATTTTATACAACTCCAGCATCTCACCCTGCCACGTCATCATGTCACATTTGCAAAGGAGGATACGTATTAGTAAATGAGGATACATCCCTAGCTCTAGCTAGGGATGTATAACACATTACACAGTGTTTTTAGAGCAAGGACACTACAAATGCACCGTGAGACATTATCTCTGTTAAGAGTTACCCACTCTGTCTGTATACTCTCAATTTATTTCCAAATCTCTGTGCACAATAAATATGATAACTGAATATCCAAACAGAAGAACTGTCCTAAATAGATAAACTGCCTGAGAAAACATTATATTTGACATGTAACAGGGAGGTATTATTAGGGTTTAACAGACTTACACATCATCAATAAAATTAATCCTATCATAAACTGTCTCTACCTTGAAAACTAATATTCATTCTACTTAATGTAAGTGTGAGGATACACTGGCATTTTTAAATGTTTAATTCCTTTCAATAATATAAGCAAAGATTTGCTTGGCTTTTCTCTAATTGCAAAGAGCAAAAAATCAGAGATGTATTTTTCTATCCTATTGGATACCTGGACTGAATACATCGGCCAATGCCTACTACCGGTCTGTTACTACTGTTGAATGAATGCTCCCTTATTAAAAAAAGATATAAAATTAACGTGGATATACATGTACTTATTATTTTTTGACAAATAAACTGCACTTTTGCAGCAGAAATATATAAATATATATAATCTATAACAGGCATCCTAAAATCAAATATTAAAAATATCAGCTATCTGAAACTTTCTGCAGATCACTGTAAATGAATTGCTGTGTATGATATATATATAAAAAGAAAATGACTGGATCAAAGTGCTGGATCACCAACATCCAGTTTTTGATCAAGCTAATTGGTACTGGATCAGTGCACCTCCACATAGAACAATGTAGTTCACTTGAGGAGTGAATGGTCCCAATTTGAATTGGTATTGGGTGATACACTGCAGATCAGCTGGCTGAAAGAATAAAATTGCCTAACTAATTATTACAGAAGAGTCGTCCTGCAGGATTGTTCTCGTCTAAACATGCCACTTTGACATTTTGATGGAGCTCTGTAATACAGCAAGCCCCCATGGCCATAGCTGAATGCTTTTTACGGTATCTAGAAAGGAAAGGCCCATCCCACCTTAAAATAATAATTATAGGCACAGGGGCCTGCAGTGGCCAAAATACATAAGAAACTTACATAGCTTTCATCGCACACCAATAGGTAATAATTTTATGAGATTCTGTGTTTTATAAATGATCCCATTTATTTAGCAAAATTTCAACAGTTCTGTCATCATGAATGCATCATGAAAATTGTAGAGACTACATTTCCCTGCTTTTTGATATTTTTTTCTGCCCAAAAAACACAAGGAAAAACATGGAATGAGAACTGAAGTAAGCTCACCCAATGCTCCTTTAAAGGAAACCCTTTTTGTTTTGTGGTAAGCGACACGCAACATGTCTGCTAAGCAGCTGAGTGCAGGCTGTGCTACATAAGCAAATAGCTTTAAAAATTCCAGTGAGCAACTATTATCAACTCAATCTGCTCTTAGAGTTGCACTAAACACACAGCTTACTAGTACATAAATATTATTAATTATTATTATTATTTAAAAAAATTACTACACACCTAAAATTAAAATTAATTACTTGTTTTCCATATTTTGCCTTAAGCTTCAGTATTAAGATATATGAGTGCTACAAGTCAATTTTGTACAAATCTAATGAACTTGTTATCATGACTTTAACACAAGCAAGAATAACTATTGCTTGTGTATTTTAGATAAGAGCAGCTGTATCATTTTATGACTTGATGCAATCAGCTGACTTTTTTACCAATCTGACTGGATGATCTGATTGAATTCTCTCTGTAAAGTGCCTTGAGATGGTGTATTGTGAACTGGTATCATGTAAATAAAGTTTACTCAATTGAATTATACATTTTTGTTGAACATCTAAGTGTACTATGAAACTATTGTATTTTACTGTTGGTTATAATAGCAAGAGATTAACCCGTTGAACCATGACTATTTGCTTGTCAAACTGGTTACACAATACACCCCTCTTCCTCTATATCCCCATTTACTAAAAAAAAAAAAAAAAAAGATGCTCACATCTCAATGATGTCTCCTTGTAGCATTCTCGTTACAGACTTTTGTAAAGATGCTGCGCTCTTGAGTCAGAACCTAGATCCACACACACTATGAAATCGCTGAATCCATGTCGGATGAGTAAACTCTCTTTCTACCCCTTTTTGTACACCCCTTTTTAAAAGAAAAACTTTAGATTACAAGTATGAGGAAGATATCACTCAGAGCCTGTCTGAAGCTGCTTCTTTAGTCTGTTTCATGCAGGCCTACATACATCAACAGACTAATGCTCATGCATTGCATAAAACTACAACCTTGTTTTTTATTTATTAGCTACAACAGATGCCAATAATACATTCAGGTAGAGTTAGGAAATCTGATGTGTGTAATAATATACATATATTATCCTTTTGTAGATTCAAAAAATATGTTTGCAAAGAAATGATGCAAGTTAAAAACACTACAACCTAAAAAATCTAAACTTCTTTTTTTTTTTTTTATACTTGTTCTGCGAAAAGGGGCTACACAAAATTCCTTGATCCTTTGTGTGACATGCGATATAACCAAAGCCAACCTCATGGAAATCAACAAAAAATACATTATTTCTTAGAGTATACATTGTGTGATACATGCAACCTGCACCTTCATGTGTAATGACGTACAAGTTAAAGGCTGTCTGGAAACGGCACAGCATTCCATCGGCTCCTATCCTACCCATGATAGAGTTCTTGTTCTTCATAAAAGATGAAGTGGCAGAAGCTAGAAACAGCTGTATTGTTCTTAGTCGCTTCTTTCTCTTGAGTGCAAAAGCCACAACATTGATGGCCTCTATAAGGTTTTACTAGATATTGCACATCTCTCGCTGAGATACCATAAATGAGCAAGTATATATTGTTAAGGTATAAGTTTCAGGCATAGAAGGACATTAAACAGGATAAAAGGCCTTAAAAAAATATAAGTGCTATATAGATGAACAATTCCTACATTCTCCCCCACCGTTCATACACCTGGTTGGGGTGAGTGGCTCCTCATCTCAGGCTTGTAACCTCTACCAACAGCCTGAGAGGGATTCACTTCATCTTAGCTATTCCTAGAACTGTGTACTTAAGAAATGAGATGTCTGATGTTACTTCAGATATATGATGGAGCCAAATCCATTTAGTTGGCCCCTTTTTTTGGCTGTTTGTACCAGGAAGTCCCACAGGAACTAAGCTCTGTCATTCCCCAATGCTTTAGGAGGTGACTCTCATTTTAACCTGAGAATCTCGAGGTCTACACAGATGTTTCTGTACACTATACCAGCCACTTGGTTATATAATTCCAGGTAGTCCTTTCCTGCCATTATCATACACCATGCAGTGAGATGCAAGCATGTTTATCCAGTCTCTTTGCGTAACCTGCACCTGGGATCTTTCCTGGCATAGTAGATCTGGGCCTCTATTGCTCTTGTCCTCAAGACCTGCACCTGTGCTGCCATGATCAGTGCTTCTGTGCTGTCCTTCATTCCGGCCCTCTCTAGTGATGAGTGAATTTGGTCATATAAGCCACTGCAGCTATCCGCTGCTGGGGCCTCTCATGCAGGTTTTTTCCTCTCATGTTCCTTCAGTTCCTTCTCTTCCAGCTTCCAGCCATTATCTGTGACATTCCCTATGGCTTCATCCCTTGGGGCAATTCTTATATATATATATATATATATATATATATATATATATATATATATATATATATATATGCTTAACTGATCAATCATTCTTGGTTAAATTGGAATCAAAATATTTTGGTAAATTAAATACTGCTATTGAAAAAGGAGCCTTTATTGTTCCACCAGCAAAAGTCTTTTGACTGAGAATGTTTTGATATGTGACGATGTCATATGAAAGTGTAAAGAGAAAACACATAGAATTGTTGAGTTTTTTTTTTAGAAGTGGTTGATAAAATAACCAAGTCTGACTTTGAATATCTTATTTCTATTAGGTAGAAATAGGTAGGTAGTCATCAAAGTATTTTTATTTAGCAACAAACCTAACTAAATTTTGATCTTGTAGCAACAAAACCATAGGCTACTGGCAATAAACTAAACCTAAAATGTTGCTATATTTAAATGCAATCCTTGTTTCTAGGAGGGGATTGAGGTGATACAGCACTTCTTTTTTTATAATGTTTATTTTTTCTGAATCCAAAAGAACTACCACTTGCTTTTTTGAGTTGGGAGATGCACATTCAAGTTTAAGCAGATGTCTACAAACTTTAAAAACAATGCACTGATCCGTATCTTCTGTGCATCATAGAGCATCACCAACATTAACAAAAAGGATTTTTTTTTGTTGGTAACTGTATCAAAAATATAGATACATTCACTGACGCCGACGGTGGTACTCGGCTCCATGCAATCCTCAGGGATTATGGCCCTGGAAGGGAGGGTTAACAGCCGGTGGGATTAGCCGAACATCTGCACTGATCGGAGAGATGCGCTCCGATTAGTTCGCCTCCAACATGACGGTCCCCCAACAAAGTAGACACGGTTAAATGAGATCAGCACGCGGGGAAATTCAGAGAAAGGCAGCTGCCTCTTTTCCACACAGCCTCGAGGTTTCAGTGTAATCTGAGAAAAGTTGAGATGCTCTCTGGGATTGATTTAAAATGTTTGGGATTTAGATAAAAGGTCGCTAAAGAGCACTTTGCAATTATAAAAATAACAACAACAAGAACAACAACAACAACAACAACAACAACAACAACAATAATAATAATAATAATAATCTTACCTGTTGGGTTCGGTTATTTTCTCTCCCAGGAAATCAAAGCCACAGAATATTCCGTATTTTGTTACCAAACAAATTTGCGCACGCGAACATTACTGAAGAGTGACGCTCCGGGCCACAAAAAGAAACACAAGAGAAAGGGAATCAAAACAGTGTTTCTTTCTGACTTGAGAGCAAAACCACCGCTTCCAGTCCTCTGTGTTTAGTGGTGTTCCCGTCCATCCATGCCGGCTCCTCCTGCCTCTGATCTCTCCCTCTTGGTGTCAGTAGCGCAGGTCGCAGGAGGCGCAGCGTCGCGCAGGTTGCATATCGGAGAGAAGTAAAGCCTCGCTGTGCCCACTCACTCAGATGCGTCAGATCTCCTTCCTTGCCTCCCTCCCTCCCTCCCTCCCTCTCCCCCCTTTTGCTCCGTTCCTCGCAGAGAGCGGCGCGGGAGAAAAACCCAGAGAAGGAAGCGCAAAAAGCGAGAAGGATGTCTTGTCTGTCTCTCCTCCCGTGCAGCCTCCTGACTGCTACGGCCATTCAAGCGGAACAGCCTCCCTCCCTCCTCTTGCAAGCACTCCTTCCTTGCCTCCTCCCCCTCCCTCTCTTCCTTCCGCTGCTTCTGGGATATCCTAGCAGTTCTGGGTATTAATGGACAGAGTAGCCTACCTGTCGGCCCGTTGAGCATAACTTTCACCTGTAACGACGTATGATTCATTTCTATTATTTAAACAAACATAGGATATTATTTAATTAGAATAAACATGTGCTTTGCAGGCACACCCTCATCACAAACAGGTGAAATAGTTGAAACATCTTAAAAATTGTTCATGTAAGCTTTGGTTAGAAATGTAGTGAAAAATGCATTTCTGAAAAATGTAATTTTGTGAAAATGTTGGTGTTTTTAATAAAGGGCCTCACAGATAGATTGTTTAGAAGTCAGATCTAGCATTAACAGCCTATTGTGAGATTCACACTAAATAATGCACTGTCAAATCAGTTTTAATCTTATCATGCATGCCCACAAATTAATGAGTGTGTATTAAATATGAATCTGAAAATAGTCCTTTCATTGTGTACTTTAATGCACTCATATTCAAAATAGTGCATTTACATTGGGCTCAATGGTGAGATTTCACTGTCTTTACCTTAGTTTGAATGGTGACCTCATGTCAAATGATATCACATTCACTTTTTGTTGTTGTTGTTACTTATTCATCTACCTAAATGAAGGATTAACAGCTAATACAATTATATTTTATGTCACTCATATTGTAAGAAAGTCAAAATTTTTGTGGAAGATTAAGCTCTGTCATGCAAATTTTCCTATGGCATTTTTTCCAAAGTTACTATGGCAATAGTACCAGGAACTTTAGGGAAACCCAAAAATCTGCGTATCTTTGGTTTGACCAGTGATATTCAGGGCTCAGCAACATTATTAAATACATAGCAAGGCAATGTTAGAGCATTTCTTTTTCTCCAATCATATCTATTCCAGTTATACAAAAAGTAGTTACCTAATAGCTCAACATGGTGTAAATTAATCCACACACCAAATGAAATAAATACATTAAAGAAAATAATCTTAAACTGTTTTAAAGAAGTGCTATTAATTGTAGCATATTTAAATTGTATTCACACCTTTCTATGTAATTTAGATTTGAATCAAGAAATATCAAAAGTTTCTAGATTCCAATTAAAACTGTGAAAAGAAACAAAAACAAAAGTGCTGAATTTGTGCATCATGAACCAGCAAGGAAGCATAGCTATATTGCTAATAGTGCATAGAATAGACAAAACACATGGGTTGCAAAAGTCTATGAACAAACATACAAAATAAGCAACTGATGAAACTGTCTTTCAACTAAAACACTCACATAGTTTGTGTCTTAAGGTAAAATGAATATAGGCAGGTGTTAAACCAAGTCATTAAAAAAGCACAAAAACATACACAAAATATAGGGTTTCATTTCATCAGAGCTGTAAATATTTGATTACAGTGAATTCATGTTCAGTAAAACCCTTTTCTCTGTGTCAAAAGCAGGAAATGGTGTGAATGATGCACCGATGGTTGGTACTCCCAGTGTGTTTAAGTCGTTGGTACTCCCAGTGTGTTTAAGTCCCCGAGCCAGCTGGTTGCACAGGCCGCATGTGATTCAGGCTAATCCTTACATAAGTCAGCCATTATGGCTTGTGACTATATGTCACACGGTGGTGGTTCAACAGCACTGGATTGATTTCAGCCCGCGTTGCCTAGTTGGTCCTGAATGAAAGTGTTCTAGAGTCAAGTTTTCTGTTAAAAAGCAAAAGCACTTAAAGAGCACAGACCTCCATCCAGCAGCGAATTTTGCCCCTTTTTGTAACTCACACCTAGACCTGAATCTTACCCCTGATCTATATCACTATACATTTTAATGAATTGTTCCTTGTAATGAGGTGCACCTCTGGTAACAATTCCTTAAAATCCTTTCATAAGTTCATAAGTAAGACACATTATGTGTCTGCAGCCTCTGGTGTTAGTTCTGGTCTCACCATCATGCTCTGCACTCCGCTTTGATCGGCAGATCGAGACTTCGAACGATGCATGACTCAATTTTCCTGTATTTTTGTCTTCAGTATAATACTTCTGGACTTTTTTGAGTCACTGAAGCTGTCTATAGTCACTCCTGTCAATCTCTGGTTTAGGGGGAACTTGTTGTTCTGCAAAATAATGTTAAAGACTCCTTTTAAAAAATGCCTGCATCTGGATTATGATATTCACACACAGACACAGAGACACACAAACAAACAAACAAACACACACACACAAACTTGACTAAATACATAACCTCCTTGGTGAAGATAACCAATTGGTATCAAGGACCTCAGTAACTTTTTTGTGAATGTCTATTAGGCTATCTCATATTTGACTTTTAATCAGCTAATACTGCTTTACCCTAACTCTACCCCTAGATTACACTGAAAACTAAGCTTGATTTATGCCTGACAGGTCTGAAAGTTTCGCACGGCTAAATTGTGTCATTTTAGCTTCAACCCTTGATAGATTTTTTCCAACCTGCAAAGCTAAAAACCAATGTTTCTATAAAATCCTATAAACACCCATATAAACCTGACAGATGCGATGTCCGAGAATACAATAAGTTGTGGAATGAAACTGAATACCAGATGCTTTTAGAAAATAGGCACAAGTTGTAGTACCTGATAAAAAAACTAAAGACCCTCTTACTTTCTTCGAGTACTTAGGTCTATTATAATAGTCCAAGATTGACCTCCCTCACTTGAATAAATAAAGAAGTTTTCCAACCTAGGTCGTTCCATTTCTAACTACCAGTTGGCATTCACAGTGATATAATCTGTTACCTGTCTCCACAAAAAACATGGCACTGTATGCCTTTTTCCTTGCTATCCACACTGCACACCTTTTCACCTCCCTATTTACCCCTGCTGGCATTTATACTGATATAATCAGACAGTTTGGGAACTGCCATTTTCAAGTCTCAGGTTTGGCATTTTAACTTTGCTTGCTAGTGTAAGAACAGCAGGGCAAGAGGTTGGAGTGTGAGACATAAAAACTGACTGTATCAAAATATGTAACTTAATCCTGGAATACAAGTTTATTTTTAAAATTGGAGCATCAGTGTGGATGTCTTATATTTTTAATTTATTTTGGAAAATAGGTTGAGTTCATCTTAGAAATTGCAAATTTGTAAAAAACATTAACATTTGTACTGAGATAAATTAATGTCAATTTTATATAATTGATACTACTCAAAAAGGTGTATTATTTGAAGTTTATTATTATTTATACAAAGCTTGGTTTTATTCCCTGTGTTTATCTTACTCTAAGCAACTGAAGAAGCTATTGCTATGACTGACTGCATGTTCTGTCTTATATTTTTTATAGCTTTTATAACTGCCATTGAGCTCTTTTCTGTGCATACCTTTCTCCTAAAAGAAGCCACAAAAGGAGCTACTACTGCCATTAACCTAATCTTTTCTGACATAGAAGGTACTACAAGACCAGTGCATTTAAATTTATTGAGAATATATCAAAGGAGAACCTGAATCAAATCTGCAACTATTGACTTCCCTGGGAAAGGATTTATTGAAGCACTTTGACAAAATATCCATCCATCCATCCATTTTGATGTTTTATCCTAGCTGGGGTCGCGAGGGGTGCTGGTGCCTCTCTCAAGCTGTCTATGAGCGAGGCGGGGCACCCTGTACAGGTTGCCAGTCTACAAAATATCCATGTGGTCAATTTCTTAAACCTGAATCTAGACCAACCTTTTGTTATGTTTTTTCCAAAACTCCCAATATTTGTGTGTTGGTTTATTTTTTGTTGTTGTTCTTTTTTAAGAGGGCAGAGGTATTTGCCTTTACATGTGCAAATGCTAGCTACAGCAACATGTATATTAAGCAAGAACCCCAATCCATTTCTTAACAAGTAGCCTCTTTTTTAAGAGGGCGGAGGTATTTGCCTTTACATGTGCAAATGCTAGCTACAGCAACATGTATATTAAGCAAGAACCCCAATCCATTTCTAGCCATGGACAAATTTGTGTTTTAACATGAAGAAATGCTTGAACATCTTGTTGGAGTAATAGGTATTCAACCATAACATTTTGTACCTGAACCTGTAGTTGAATCTCTAGAATGAATTGTTTTGGCCAACAAGATAAATCTCTGAATGACCAGGATGGCAACATGGATTAGTATGATTTGATAGCATTTTTATAAGCTTCAAATATGGTTCTTGGCATGGAGAAGCAAATAGATATGCTTCTAAATATGTTTGGACTGAGGTGATGTGGTTCCTTGTTTGGTGTCTTATATATGACGTTCTTATTGTGTTACTATAGCACTTGATGTTGTTTCTAAAGTGAACATGCTTTGGATGCTGACTGTTATGGGCGCTGTTGTTCAACATGTGTGCAAAATTCAGTTCTCGTGATATTCTTCTGCGAGAATTGAATTTTGCAGATGTTCAACAACAAGGCCCATAACAGTCAGCATCCAAAGCATGTTCACTTTAGAAACAACATCAAGTGCTATAGTAACACAATAAGAACGTCATATACAGTGGGGCAAAAAAGTATTTAGTCAGCCACCAATAGTGCAAGTTCTCCCACTTAAAAAGATGAGAGATGCCGGTAATTTTCATCATAGATATACCTCAACTATGAGAGACAAAATTAGAAAAAAAAATTCAGAAAATCACATTGTCTGAGTCTTCACAAGGTTTTCACACACTGTTGCTGGTATTTTGGCCCATTCCTCCATGCAGATCTCCTCTAGAGCAGTGATGTTCTGGGGCTGTCGCTGGGCAACACGGACTTTCAACTCCCTCCAAAGATTTTCTATGGGGTTGAGATCTGGAGACTGGCTAGGCCACTCC